ATTTTGAGAGCGTGCTGGCTTTTCGTGCTCCTTTCATTGCTGACTCCCGCCTTTTCACCGATTGTCTACGTGATAGTGAACCCCGAGTCTGATGCTATTCTTGCCTGCATGCACTTGCTAAAATAAAACTAAATAAATGTGTGTTTTCACTTCTTTGGAGGGCTGCTTTCTGTTAGGAGCTGATGTAAACGGCTGCCCAAAGGAAGCCACACGTGCAGCACAGGAAGAATTGCTTTTTTGATGCCGAAGGATGACGCTACCTCTTTTTGAGCACCATCTCCTGGCAACTCAGATTAACTAATTTTGACCTGTATGCAGATGAAGCATACTCCCATGACACTTTACATTTAAATACATTATTGGCCAAACAACGCCAGGCCCTACATGCAACTCAATGGTATGACGATGACAGGTTAATAAGACTGGGACTTCTCAGATTGGAAAAGAGATGACTAAGTGGGGGATATGGTAGATGTCTATAAAATCATGACTAGTGTGGAGAAAGTAAATAAGCGTTATTTACTCCTTCTCATAACACTAGAACTAGGGGTCACCAAATGAAATTAATAGGCAGCAGGTTTAAAACAAAACAAAGAATTTCTACACAGTCGACCTATGGAACTCTGCCAGAGGAGGTTGTGAAGACCAAGACTATATATAACACGGTTAAAAAAAAACCTAGATAAATTCATGGAGGATAGGCCCATCAATATTAGGCAGGATGGGCAGTGATGCAAAACCATGCTCTGAAGTGTTCCTCACCCCCCTTTGCCAGAAGCTGGGAATGGGTGACTGGATGGATCACTTGATGTTTCCCTGTTCTGTTCATTCCCTCTGAAGCACCTGGCCCTGGCCACTGTGGGAATTCAGGATACTGGGCTAGATGGACCATTGATTTGACCCAGTCTGGCTGTTCTTATGTTTTCATTTCTCTGTCTGTTTGGATGTAACATGATAACCTCTGAGGATAGGACAAGAAACAATGGGCTTAAATTGCAGCGAGGGCGGTTTAGGTTGGGCATTAGGAAAAACTTCTTGATTGTCAGGGTGGTTAAGCACTGGAATAAATTGCCTAGGGAGGTTGTGGAATCTCGATCATTGGGGATTTTTAAGAGCAGATTGGACAAACACCTGTCAGGGATGGTCTAGGTAATACTTAATCCTGCCTGAATGCAGGGGACTGGACTAGATGACCTCTCGGGGTCCCTTCCAGTTCTATGATTCGGTAACTTCCAAATGCAGCTTCCAATCAATTCCAAAATGACAGGGAAGGTTCTAGGCATCAGTGGGCAGAATCCTACTGATTTAGGTGAAAACTGAAAAACCAGAAAAGTCATTAGCATTTAAAAGGTTGGTCCCTTGCTCTCCTTGCTGAAAGCTGCCTAACAGCTATTGGGTGGGTGTTCAGTCAGCAAGGGGAGACAGAGGGTGAAGAGAGTGAAGGAGGCTTCATTCCTTCCTCCCGATGTTAGACGGACAGAGAGACAAGTGAGCCAGCAGATGAGTAAGTGAAACCAGGTGCCCTGTTATTCACAAAGGACAGGGATTTAGAGGACCCTTATTTCCATAGGATCTGAACATCTCAGAATGGTGTTTCCTTTCACACTTATGGGTGATGTAAGGATACCTTTATTAAAGAGTCTATGTTGCTCATTCGGTATGCAGATCAGGGTCTCTAAGTTGACAGAAAGTAGGGCAATGTTTCCAGTCCTACTGGAATCCTCAAGCATAAAGTTAAGGTTGTGTGGTTGTCTTGCATGATGGACGACCTCACCTGTGAAATTTCGAATGTTCTGACATTTGAGGTTCCTGGCGGGGAACTGGATATACAAAAGCCTTACCTTAGCTGAGCATTTCTCTGGCTTTCTGACTTAAGTTATGATTGTGAACTTCCAATTCAGCAAGGGGTGGAAGTCTAGCCTGTCCCCAAGTCCTCAAAAATAATGAGTTGAGCCCCAAGAAATTGAGAGATTCTTTTTAAAAGAAATCATGAGATTTAAATAAACTTGAGGGTTGTTTTTTTTTTTTATTTGCCTTCCAGGTTTAGCCTTTTAGAAGTCACATTTTCAAGCTCTTCCCTACTATCATGAGGGCCAGAAACTTACTTTACAAAAAATGCAATTCTCAGAGTCACATGATTCCAGAAACTGGGGCTTTAAGAAAATACACCAAATAATATCGCAAGCCTTTTGATAAAATCATGAAAGTTGGTGACTTGGGTAGCAATCTTAAAGTTGCTTTCACAGGGCAGCACGACAACAGCACCAGCCATTCTCTGCAGCATGAGCCAGTCTTCCTTTCCCAAAGCTGCACCTGCTGAATCCCAGAAGGATCTAGACTCCCTCCCCCCTTGCCCTTCATTCTACATTAAACTGTGTAGAAAGCTGGTGGGAGTCCATGGACTTTGCTGTCAACCCCACCTTGATGACACCTGTTCCAAAGATTAATCAGCGCCACCACGATGCCTAGATGAGATCAGCATCTGGCTGAAGAACAGCTGACAGAAAAACAACCCATACAAGTCCAAAGTGAAGCTGGTCAGAAGGGGAGAGTGAAATTATCCGGAGAAATGGCCATTTTACAATCTCCATGCCCACACTCCACCTTCCACTGGGGGCATCTGTGAAACTTCCAGGTCCTGTTTGACTTCATACCAAGCTTACAAGAGCAGGTAGCTTCAGTGGTGATGAGTTCCTTCTCCTGGCTCCAATTCCCCAGGAATCTTCACCCCTACTGTTCAGCAGAGACCTGGGCCCAGTGATCCAGGCATTAGAAACCTCCAGACTGGACTGCTGTAACTCTCCGTATCTGGGTGTGAAGGTGACTGCAATGCGGAGGCCCCAGCAGCAGTCCCTGTCCTCAGTGGGATTGGCCACTGTGAATGCAACAGTCCTGTGCTGTCAACCCTTCACTGGCTCCTATGCCTAGCTCTTAGTCTTCATCCTCCAGGCCATCAACAGGTTACCACCCAGCTCCACCAATGACTACATCTACATGCACAACCCACCACTAAAGCCAGCTCCACTGGGATAATGCATCTTTCAGAGCTCAAGGTGAAACATGAGAACCAGAGAGGACATTCTTGATTGATGGGATTGGGCTATGGAACAATTTTCTCAAGAAGATTAGATTAATCTAGAGCCTGACCACTTATGGGCCACGCTGCAAGACCCTCCCACCAGAGCCAAATTTACTGGGGGAGGGAATGGGCACATGGAATACCCCAAGCAGAGCCTCATCTACCATGGAAGAGCAGAATCCACAAAAGGCCTGCTAGGGACTTTGCCATGCAGATCTAATTTACCTGGGGGGCACTTATGTAGTGCAGTGATGGGCACTCTAGAGAACTCTGAGATAGATTATGCTCTCTTTGAAGCTTTTCATTATCTATAATCACCATTATCACCTGCTTCATGCTTCATTCTGGCATGTTTCACACTTATGTGGTGAAATGATGTGTTCTGACTGTTTTATTGTAGCTGATGCAGAATAACCTCAGAAGGCTGCATGATGATGGTATCTTATGATAGTTTTTTGGAACATTGACAGGAGAATCTTCCTTCTCCTAGGTTTCTATATGTGGTCATGAACAGAAGATGACCTAATTGGGTTAACTATCTTCCTGTTTGGGAAAGTATGTAGGTAGGAGGTTAACGCTGGAGCATGGCCTCTAGGATATGAGGTTACAAATTATGGTTGGGATTTTCAAAAGCACCTAATGTTGGTCTAACTATGCTCCAATTGAAGTTAATGGGGGATAAGAAATTGACTTCCATGGGAACAATGTGTCCAGTCCATTGATGAGCTGACTGACCTCTGAACAGACCAGCAACTTCACTAGGTTTGTGGTAAAGATGCAGAATGAAGTCTTCTCACATGTTAAGCACCCACTCGTGTATGAAAATAAACCTTCGGGTCATAAACTGTGAAAACCTCAGACACACTATATCTACTCCCTCCCCCCATCTTCAACGAAGCCCTCCATCTCCCAGAACTTTGTCTTAGAGAAATGCCACCTTTAACACCATTTGTTGTGTTTCTGCTCTGTTTCAGATCTCTTCTGTAACCCCAGAACTATAGCTTATGGCCCCATTATACCCAGGAAAAGGAAAACACTTTTGCCTCTTTGCCCATTAATTTCAGCAAGATTTTTTGGGTTTTGAGAGCACATCCATTCCTTATTGGCAGTTAATGTTTTTGTAACGTTTTAACGCTGCAGCAGGCTTCTTTAAGAACAATTTTAAAATTATTGTAAGTCTATATAAGTTGTTTACACAACTTGTTTGTATGTTTGCATACAGTACACACATGATTTGTTAAAATGGGGGAAGTTAGTTTTCTGAGTAGCATGTATGCTGGTTGTATTCATTTCCCTCTTCTTTTAGATTTGCACAAGAGATCTGGAAAGACAGACTTTCAAGCTGAAAATGTTTTGGGAGAAAATTAAGGCCCTGATCCTGCAAACACCCATACATATTTAACTTCATGCACTGTGAACTCAATGGAGCTAATCATGTGTGGATAGTTAAGCATGTGTATGAGTGCTTGCAGGATCAGGGCTAACATTTTGAGACTAACTCAGCAAGTGCCATTCCGTGGCATCCATTGTTCCGAAGTCCTTACACAGTATAAATGCTTAATTTATTGCCTCAGTGGTATAGTCTCTTACTGATGCGCATACAGATATTTTCATTAACATCTTTTGGGGGGTATATACCTCTTAAGATATACAGCAGACAATTGTGGGTTTGACCTCAGAGAAATTTTACATTCAGTTCACTAGTAATAAGAAATGTGCTTAAATGTCTACAGATTGAAATGATCAACCTATTGCTGCTAGCAGAATATCAGAACTTCTTTTGTTAGACCAAGAAATATTTGGAAAACATTTAACCAGGCGAACAGTTATGAGGCCTCTGATGGTCGGGCAACAAGACTGATCCAAGCAATTAAATAGGAGACATAAGCTATGAAGATCACTAGCAGAAACAAAGACGGTATTATAATTAACTTTTTCTTTTTATTTACACCACAAGAATAACAAGTTGTCATAATGTGGTACAAAATACTGGACTCCTAATAAAGTTGAAATTGAAATTGGTACTGTCGGAGAAAGACACCATTGGCCAGTAAAAAAACAAAACCAAAAAAACAAATAAAACAAAAACAAGAATGAGAAAAAAAAATTCCAACTCCACCAAGTAAAAGAAAGGACCATCAGAAAATTTTAGCACAAAGAATGCTACCATCACTTAAAGTAGGGTCCATACAATAAGAGTGAAATTGTGTCTAAATTACAGAGTAAACCGGTAGCTGCTACCAATGGTGACATCATACTGAGCATGTATAGGTATAAAGTAGAATATAATATAGTTACAACTTTGATACTACATATCTGTAATAAGCTCTTGGGTGAATAATGTTCAAACCCATCCCCCCCCCCCTTTTATATATATATATATATATATATTATATATATATAAGTTTGTCATTCTCATAAATTGGAAAATAGCGCCTCCACTATGGAGCACAGAAAAGTGTTAATTTATTTTCTTTCAATAGGATACTTTTTCATCAATATCAAAGTACATGAAGCAGAGCTGAGAACAAGCCCAGCTTCGTCACAATGAAGAAACATTTTTATTCCTTTTGATGTAAAGTCTTATTTTAAACCACAGTGCTTGCACAGTACACGACTGTTTAAAGTGAAATCTAGTGAGACATTTCAAAGTAATTAAAAAAGTTAACACAGCTGTGCTGAAGACTTAACCCTTTAAAATCCTTTTTTCCCCTCAAAATGAATGATTAGATGTGTTAAAGGAATGAGCCCAACTCCCCGCCCTCCCAGCGAAGAGAAAAACAAAACAAAAAAGTCAACAAAAAGAAAAAACCCAACCAAATTTTTGTTTTAAAATGACACAGGCAGTTTACTATGTGTGTTCTGTGTAGTTTCCCTAAAACACTGTTTTCCACATAAATACAATAAACTCTATTATTGGTATGTCACAAGTGCTAGATAAAATTTTTCTTCTTAAAATGAGAAATGTATAAGTAGTCCTTTTTATTTATCTTTTTACAATAAAAAGCACAATTTCTTAAGTTCAGTAAGATGCAATTCCCCCCACCCCCACTCTCCTTCCTTTTTTGTGTGTGTTTGACAGAAAATTGCCTCAACCTTTGTCTCTGCAAATCCCATGAGAGGGGAAATTTTGTTTTTCAAAGCTGCCAAGTTTGGCGTGCAAAATCTGTAGACAATATAAAGACATGCCAACCTTACAGACCATGCAACCTCAAGGTGTAGGAAACTTAAAAAAATATATTCATATATATTTATATATATATATATATTTATATATATCAATGCCCATAAAACACATGGGCCCAAAAAGTTTACAAAAAGGAAGAATGGAATGAATACATGACTGCGACTAATAAAAAAGGAATGTTTCGTATCGAAAGTAAAAAACAAAATGATCAATTGTGTACTGCAAACTGGGACTCGCTTCTCTGCAAAACAATTTGAAGATGTTGCTTAGTTTCCAAACAGGCAAAAGAAAAAAATTATTATTGTACTGGGCTACCCCAAAGGCTTGGCTACAAAGTGATGCACTGTGTTGCTGGCACAACTTCTGGTCTCTTGCTGGTGGAGCTGAAGTGCATCATGTTTGGGTTCAGGAGGGGAAATAGTAAGGAAAGGGAAGGAGTGCTCATTTAATCTACCTGCAATGCACCTCTTTGGTGGCTACTCCAGAGAGTTTGCTAGCATTCCCCTCAGGACTGGATGCTCACTGACCCAGGGCTGAGCAACATTTTCTTAGAAGGCTACTGAAATGAAGAGGCCAAAAGCTCAAGAGGTGAAAAAATGGTGGTCTCCAAAACGAGGATCTCCAAAACAAGGACCTCCTTTCCCTTCTATCTGCACCAGTCAAGGTCAGACAGGCCACGGAGCACCCAGACATGGCCTGTTGAGTGAGTGTAGCCAAGTAAGGTTTTAGCCAATCCAAGTGATCTAGACTTTGGAGTAGACTGATGAGTTGTGAAGTCTTGGTAAGTCTTTCCATTGATGGCAATAACTTAATGAAATGATTTAAAATAAATGAACAATGCATCTTGAAAGTGACAAGATGGAAGTGTACTGAATATTTCAGACTATTGCCAATCATCTAATTTTAAAGAAATCAACTCAATCTGTCAGCAATTGTTCACAAGGAAAGAGGAACACAAATATTTTCCACAAGTGATACCAAGATTGTTAATAAAAAAAGGGTTAGGACGGTCTAGATACAAATAGGATCGTGTATATGTTGATATTGCCAACATTTATGAATGGGTAAATGATTTAAAATATGAAATCACAGGATTCCACAGCCAAATTATGTTTTAGATCACAGCAGCAAAGTGGTCATTTAAAAAACCAATGCATACACATATTTTGCATTTTTATATTTGAACCTTACTGTTAGAATATGCTGAAGACAGTTCTAATAACCAAAACATTTCATAATTTTAAAGGTACTTGGGTTAGCAAACTCAAATACAGTAGTGTCTGTTTTTTAAATTGCATTGTAAAACAAAGCAAAGAACCCTCTTGCGCTTGCTCACTTGTATGGTATGTTTCAAATTCTTTCCACAAGCCTGAATTCAGTATGTTCTGAATGGAATGAAAAACCTACATCAAGAACTGGAAAATAAGTTAATACAAAATGACCCTGTCAGTTGTCATAATAATAAAAAAAAATTAAAAATACCCTTGGTTGTTCAGATAAAGGATCTGTACTATCCTACTCTGCTTTGAAAAGGTACATGTGTCAATTTGGTCTCCTTTAGTCACTTAACTCCACAACTCAAGGATTATCTGCTTATACTGAGGGCCAGCTCCGAAAGGCAATAGGGAAAAAATCAAGGGAGCTGAAGATTAAAACTCTCTCACCCAACAATGACTTCATCTTAAAAATAAATTTGAAAAAAAAGTTCTTTGGAGGACTAAAATTACAATTCTAGCAATGGTGGTTCAGAAAGATTGCTTAGTGTGCGTGAGTGAATGCTAGTTGCCTCAATAGTGTCTGGCAAGCCTTCAATATGGTAGCTACTAATGCCATATATAATCCTCACCACAATCCACATGGAGGATATGATACATTACCCATTGTAATACTACTATGCTTAAGGTAAAACTCCTTATTTTCTTTACACAGCTTCTATCACAGAACTGAGGAAATATACAATCATTGGTATCATACAAAAGAGACCATTGGATTCCCCTCTTTTAGTTAAATGCACGCTTTCTGAAAATAAACTCTGACAATCTGCAACAGTTCCTTACATCTGTGAAAAGCTGCTCACTGTACAAGAGACTTAAAATAATCCCCACAGAAAGTAATGTACATGCATGAGATTAGGGAAGAAAAATGTTGACATTGTTACCATTCAGAAAAACAACTGCCCAATGTAAAATAAATGTAAGATTCACACAAACAAGGCTTCTTTAGGGTTTTTGTGAAATATCAATATAAAAATTAACAGGAAATTCATAATCTTTGCTTAAAAACTCATTTTTTTGTTAGAAAACCTTAAATTAAAATACAAATGTTTAGGGTAGTTGCCCAGTGGCTAATGTGTTGGTGTTCTGAAAACTTTCCAAACTGTAGTTTGAAAATGCTCAAGTTTCAAACTAGATCCCTCTCCAAAAGCACCTTTACATTCCAATTAACAAATAAATCTTTCATTAGAGACCTTTCAATGGCTACTTTTACAGTCTGCATTTATTATATATATTTTATATAAATGCATTATAAATATTTATCAATAATTCATAAGAATCAGATTTTTAAGCTTGGAATACATTTGTTTTATTTATATATATATACACATACACACACACACACACACACACTCACACTCACACTCACCTAACAATTTAAGCAATATCTCATGCGAGTTGCTTTTAATGAAAAGCATTCCAATCTTAAAACTGCAGTTGTGTCTATTGCATGCTTCAACAACCAGATTGGTAAATTCAATTTCTACATAATGTCTGAGAGAGAAATGTTTGAAAATGTGTTTTCAATATTGGTTGAATTTCAAAAATCCAACAGTATTTGCCACTTCCTTGGCAACTACCTTAATTTTTTTCCCCACAGCAATAAAACAAAACAAAAAAAATCCAAACTTCAGACAGTTTTGGAGATGCTCTATCCAGCTGATGCCTGCTTCCAGTAATCATGCCAGCACAAACCAGTCTTCCTTCCCGATGGCAGTTCTTGGCTTTCCCAGAGGAAATATGTTGACAAACTGCTGCTGTTCTTTTTCTTAAGGCATTGTTCCTCAAACTTCAGAAAATCCAGCTGCACCAAATCCATCAGCTCAATTAAAAAAAAGGCACAAACTCATCTTCAGATGGCTTTGGAGTTACTAAAGCCGACTCCTTCTGAGCTCCATTTCCTCTTTTTTTTTTTTTGTATTTTTTTTAAATATATATGTGTGTGTGTGTGTGTATGTGTGTATATATATATATAGACTAGTCCTCTTTCCCCCACCCTCCCCATTAAAAATACACCATCTTGCATTTGTTCTGGTTTTGAAGAGAATGTCCGACTCACAGGTAGGCGAGAGCCATTTAAAAAAAAATCCAAGAAACAAAACTACAAGATGGGTTGAGTGGTTCAAACGGAGATTGCTGAATTGTGGGTAATCAAACTTTAAGCACCAGTTTTAAATGAAGTTTGTTTGTTTTTGTGTTGTTGAATCTTTAATTATTATTTTTAGAAAAAAACTGACAACTTTGCCAAAGACTTTCATGGGCTTTGTTCCCCTTATGGCTTCCATTGAGGAGCAGAAGAAGAGTGCCCAGCATACATGCTTGTCTTCAACACTGCTGCTCTTCACCAGCATTTTTCCTTTTCTGTATATACTGTATACGTGTGTATATATATGGAGAGATTTTTCTGTTGCTGTGTTTTACACCTGGTTGTCCCTTCTGTATTCTGTAAGAAAACCATGACAGGACGCAGGAGTAACAAGAGAAAGCTTCTTGGCAGAGCTTCAAGACAAAGACGAACAAACAGGAGAACTCCAGTTCAAAGGTGAATGCTACAGGGGAGGCTCCTCTTCCATGGGTTCATCATCTGGTCTGTAAACAATTTCACCCAAAGGAGGCAGGATGGGTGGAGGGAGAAAAAGAAAAAAGGGGAGGGGCATGACAAGGATGAGAAATTCACAGTGTGCTGTGTACAAAAGTGTTACACTTTCTCTTCCACACTAATGTGTGTTTTACCCAAAATGCTCACTAACACCCAGTTTGCAAACCCTCCCCTACCAACCCATGTAAGTTTTACTCACCCAGTCTGTTAAGAATTAAACCGTCTTTCAAACTTTTTGGAGAGTCTGCTACAAGTGGAAAGAGAAGCATTTCTCCAGGTTTTCTAAAGTTCAAGATCATCACACTGAGGAGCTGACACCCCTCCAGTCTTGATGAACGCGTGTGCTTGGCTGCTTTGGACCGGATGAGACAGTGTGTGCGTAGCATATTAAGATTCAAGACATGGTTGGCACTGTCAGCATTGTCCTGGCTAGTCTGAGGGGGTGTAATAAAACAGAGGGGCAGGAGCCACTTACTGTTGAAATAATTACCCTGAAGATACTGGGAATGTGTCCAGTTAAAAGGAAATGACAAAAAAATGAAGTCAGACTCTGCACTGCATCACCAGATGGTTACACACATCATTGTCCACCCTACTAACGGCTCCTATCTCTGAGAATTGTTAGATGGATGGAAGTGAAGGGAACTCACCTCTTGTCAGATGGCTTCACGCCCACTGACAGAGATGCCATGGCTGTTACTGTTTCTGCTTCTTCAGTCTCACACTTCTGTGCCTCGATCAAGGAGTACCCCACCGTGGAGGAGTAACGCTGGAGAGAATGCCAATACTTGCCTAAACGAGACATACGAAAACAGACTGTTAGGCCAGCTGTTGCACCACACAGTTATGATGTTATGAGTTATTATGAAAAGTGAGCAGACTTGGGGCTTGGTGCTTTTAGTGTCACCACAGTCTTGCACTCAGATTGAGCCTGATACTTGAAACCTTATGGGTGAGATTTTCAAAGCATTCAGCATTGGCCTATCTGAGATCCCATTGAAGCCTTTGCTAAAACTCCCACTGGTTTTTCAAAGCCAACGCTGGGCACTTTTGAAAAACTCTCTCTACACATATAGGAATCATATCACCTACCAATTAAATGCAACCACATCTGAGGATGTCTCATCCCTCCTCTCCAGAGCCTATGGAGGGCTGGGGTTTGTGTGGGGAAGACACATCCATCCTTCCTCCTCAAATCCTATGCAGCTTACAAGGAGAAGTAAATACAGCCTGAATCTGTATTAATTTATCACGGGCTCCCCCCTCCCCCACTCTCAGGGTTGCAGCTGGGAGCTGCAGCCTGGTGGTGGGGTTCTTGAGGAGGTGGCACTGGAGTAGTCTTGGCTAGGGTTACCATACGCCCGGGTTTTTCCGGACGTTGCCTGTTTTTTGAGCCTTCGTCCTCCGTCAGGGTGGATTTTTCAAACCACAGGCAATGTCCAGGGGGTTTTCTGAGCAGACACTGCAATTTAGAAAGAGCTTCGATTGGTTCGCTTCCTGATTTGTCCCTCCCCCACATCGACAGCTGATTGGTCCATTTTCCTGTAGCCACAGTTGTCAGATCCCACCCACTCAGGCCCCCAGCTTGCAGCCCTGGGGCGAGGGTCCCACAAGGAGGCACTGACTGACAGCTGTTACTGCATCCTGGGCTTGTGCCAGCTGGTTGACAGGGATTGACACTCTCCCTCCGCCCCACCTCCAGCGAGTACCCCTGCTGCAGGCACTTCCTCCAGCTCCCCCAATGAACCCCCCCCACAATGCTCTCTTTTTGAGAACCTGAAATATGGTAACCCTAGTCTTGGCTGATGTGGGAGGATGCAGAGACCCCAGCAAGCCATCCACACTCAGTGCTCCTTCCCCGAGCTGTGGACTGGGAGCAAATGCAACCGAGCTCCCCTTCCACGGCTCCCCTCACACATGGAACATCTCTTGGCCTTTGCCTGCTCCATTTAGCCAAGTCGATCATGCTGAGTTTGGGGCTGAGTGCGGGGGAGGAGGGGGGAAAAGGGACACAGAAGGAAGAGGCTTAGTGTTGTTCAGTTCAGAGGATTATCCATGAAAGAGTACCTTCCCCACAGATTGGGGATGGGATGAAGTGGAGGATACTACTCCCTGCTGCCCCTAAGTTTGGCTTCCAAATCCAAGTTAGCAACAGATAAAGGCAGGAGTGCTGAACCACTGCTCTGTCTCCATGGCCAGAGCCAGAGAAACCTTTGGCAAGGTGGCAAAACATCCAGAGACCCATGGATAAGTCTGAGCTTCCTCTAGTATTTGCCAGCAGAGCGGTACAGCCCAAATGTCTCAGACAGAGGCAGAGGTCATGGTTCAAAAAACAGAACAGTTCATCAGCACTTTTAATGTATTTGTTCATTTGCTTTTATGGCTCACAACACAGTGAGGGGGAAAATACCATAGTAATTTTGCAGCCCTGGATACATGAAGACTGGAATACAGACATGGTTGTAAAATCATCACTGTGACCAATTTAGTATCAAGAGCTGCAGAAAGGAATCTGGTACATGAGTGCTCAGTCTGAAGATCTGGTTATCCGATAAATATGCTGGCCAATCTGAGGTAACGATGGCCTCCCAAAGCGAGAAGCTGAGGAGTTCTCCATATGGAAAAGCCAGTGGACTTCTACATGGTAACTATGATGATTCACAATGATAAACAGTCTGGCTAATTCTACAGCAACAGTACAGTTATTAGCTGAATATCTGGCATTAGTACCATGCTGCTTTGTTAACATATGTTATCACAGCGGTGCTGTCATAATAAAGATCTGTTTTTAAATAAGTGTTTACTGTAGCTATGGAAACCAGCATATAATTAGCACAAACAGTTTGTTTGCTAAGACATTTAAAGTATTTAGAGGCAACAATTTTTCACTATATCTGAACTTTACACCTGGGCACAGCACAATGGAACATCCTTTTAACGAAGCAGTTTCTTGGAAATCGGGGTAAAATCTTGGTGCCACTGAAATCAGTGGGAATTTTGCCATTGGCCTGGGGGGGAAGAGAGGGTCAGGATTTCACCCCAGTTTGTCTCCTTCAGACAATAAGGTGCATTTAAAATTAAAGTGGAATGAAGAGGCTGATACGTCAACACAGTCCAAAGTCAGAATTACTGTCCGCCAAGAACCCTGGATTCTGTGGCCGTTCAGCACTGGAAGAAACATGTGAAAACAAACTTCTGCCCTGCATTGCCGAAGACTTTGTTGAATATGCTTTCCCAGCATCCTTCCAAGCAAACTCTGATTCAGCTCTGGTTTTGGATCCACTGGTTGTGAATGAAACTGCTCTTCTGCTTTGAATGGCTAAAGACAGGTGGAAGATATTAAATGGAGAGTTCACCTGCTTTTGCTGCTTATTCCTCACCTGAAGCCCCATGGCAGTTTGGAAACCTTATAATTCCTGGTTGTGAAAAAGTTTAACGTCACCAACACCTGAGCTAGGTTTAGGTGAGGAAGCAGCAGTGACAGTTGGACTCTTAAAAATCCTCAGAAATTTAGAGCTAAGGAACAAGAATACAGAAAAAGGAAAGGTTGTTTTGTGGTTAAGGCACTGGACTGGAGAAATTGGTTCAACTGCTGACTCTGCCACAGACTGCCTGTGGGACCTTGGGCAAGATACTTTGGCAAACTTTTCAAAAACACTCAAATGATTTAGGAGCCTAAAGTCCATTTTCAAAAGTCACTTAGGTACTTAGGAGCCAAAATCCAAGTAACTTCCAATGTGACTTAAAACTCCTAGGTATCTTACTCACTTCTGAAAATTTTGCCCTTAATTTCTCAGGTCCTTGCTTCCCTACCTGTAAAATGGGGACAACACTTTCCTTCTCCAACTTGTCTTTTCTATTTAGATTATAAAATAATCTAGGAATAGCTTCTTCTGTGTGTATGTGTTTGGCATATTGGGGACCCAATCTTGCTTGGGGTCTCTTGAAGCTACAAATAAACAACACCATTAGCAGAAGAGTTCAAAACGTTCCATGCTGACACGGCAGCATTTTACTGTTAAAAGCGTAGGCAAGCCTATGATTCCAGTACTTCTACCCAATGCTGGGTTTAAGTTCTATTAATGTTCGTTCGTAATTAGAAGGTGTAACAATTCCCAATTCCACTTCTTTAATAGCCATGATAGGCTGTACATAAGCACTACGGATACATCCCACCACACACAGCACAAGGAGGAAACTTGATGTTAACCTGTGTTTAGTTCCTTTAACAAATGGCCTCAACTTCAATTTCTTCACCAACAGCAGGACAATTTGCTTTATGTGTACGATTACTAAGAGAAATGCATCACTTGGGTTTACAGTTGGTTTTGGGTTAGGGTGAGAGAAAGGAAACCAAAAGATAAACCCATCCTCCTCCAGTCTGACCTCATGTCTGAACACTACAGGTACGTTTCACAGCCTGGGGCAGCAAGGCAGGCTTGTGCTATCGTGGTAAGAAAAGCTGCATAGACAACGCTTTGAAGTTGTGCCTTAAGCCTCCCAGTCGATGGGTGATGGATTTCAGAGCCTGGGCTCCAGCCTGAAGCACAATGTCTACACAGCCCTTTTTAGAGCTATCATAAATATAAAGGGAAGGGTAAACCCCTTTAAAATCCCTCCTGGCCAGAGGACAAATCCTCTCACCTGTAAAGGGTTAAGAAGCTAAAGGTAACCTCGCTGGCACCTGACCAAAATGACCAATGAGGAGACAAGATACTTTCAAAAGCTGGGAGGAGGAAGAGAAAGAAAGGGTCTGTGTCTGTCGGTACGCTGCTTTTGCCGGGGATAGACCAGGAATGGAGTCTTAGAACTTTTAGTAAGTAATCTAGCTAGGTATGCGTTAGATTATGATTTCTTTAAATGGCTGAGAAAAGAATTGTGCTGAATAGAATGACTATTTCTGTCTGTGTGTCTTTTTTGTAACTTAAGGTTTTGCCTAGAGGGATTCTCTATGTTTTGAATCTAATTACCCTGTAAGGTATCTACCATCCTGATTTTACAGGGATGATTCCTTTACTTCTATTTCTATTAAAAGAAAAGGAGTACTTGTGGCACCTTAGAGACTAACCAATTTATTTGAGCATGAGCTTTCGTGAGCTACAGCTCACTTCATCATCACATCTGATGAAGTGAGCTGTAGCTCACGAAAGCTCATGCTCAAATAAATTGGTTAGTCTCTAAGGTGCCACAAGTACTCCTTTTCTTTTTGCGAATACAGACTAACACGGCTGTTCCTCTGAAATCTATTTCTATTAAAAGTCTTCTTGTAAGAAAACTGAATGCTTTTTCATTGTTCTCAGATCCAAGGGTTTGGGTCTGTGGTCACCTATGCAAATTGGTGAGGATTTTTACCAAACCTTTCCGAGGAAGTGGGGTGCAAGGGTTCGGAGGATTTTGGGGGGAAAGACGTGTCCAAACTACGTTTCCCAGAGTTAGAGTTTGGTGGTGGCAGTGGATATTCCAAGGACAAAGGATAAAATTAATTTGTACCTTGGGGAAGTTTTAACCTAAGCTGCTAAAAGTAAGCTTAGGAGGTTTTCATGCACGTCCCCACATCTGTACGCTAGAGTTCAGAGTGGGGGAGGAACCTTGACAAGAGCACTGGTGCGAGCCCACATCTATCAGCCTGTGCTGGGAGGCTTGCTGCTGTGAGCTGTGTAGCCGTACTCTTTACAGTCGCGCAATTCTGCATCTTGCATGTTCAGCTCATGGCTGCACAGGGTATGTTTACTGTACACTGACCATCAACAAACCAGCTGAAGTAAAGCTAGCAGATCTTGGGAGAATTTATTTACTATAATCATTAAGATGATGGAGGTGTCAAAACAGTGTTGCCTGAGACAGCTCAGAGGAGAATTATCTGAGTCAAGCTTATATATACTCACTGTGTATCTCAATTACTTTTTCCATGGAATGCACTGCATTGGCATTTGCCCTCTGCTGCAAGACGTTTTCTGGAAGAGGATCAAGCTGAAAAAAATGGAATAGAAATAGCAGAGAATTTTAAATTCACATTACTGTATATACTCTGTATCCAAGTGGTCTTCAAGACACTGTATATACTGTAATCTGTACTGAGTGCCCAGTCCCTCCTTTGATTTCCACGATCTGACCCTACTTAAAATTCTGGATATGAAAACTTCCTAAACGGTCTTCTCATTATTGTACACTTCAGTTTTGCGTGCGCACACACCCAGAGCCTTACAGATGTACTAGATTTAATGAATGGAAGCTGAATAGAAAACTTGGGGAATTAAATTGTTCACTGCCATGAACATGTAGCAGTACTTTTTGAAAAGTTTAGGCTCTGGATGAGAGTTTCCAAAGTCATGACCCTTCTATCAGCTCCCACAGAAAACTGTATGTGCAGAATATTAAAAAAAGTTACGAGCTCCAGTCCAGTTTAAATTTGAGTGACTCCTTCCTCCCAGCCTATTCTCTAACCTCCTTCTCACATGACCAAGTCTTATACCAGATCTCCTCCTACTTCTTCCAGAATACCTGCCCACTACTCCCCCATTGCCATGAGCCACCGTGTGGCCCAAAGATGCTGCCGGCCACAGAATGTGAATATCTACATGCCTCCTAAGGTCCACAGGATGAGAGCTCCACTAGTGTCCAGCTCAGAAATAGTGCAGGACAGAAGCAGTTTTTAAGGATCTTAGAACATGTGTAACTGGAAAGGATGCCTGAGCTTTGACAGTCATAAGCACTCTTAGAATAGCTACTCTGCTTTGGTGAGCTAGGCAGAGCCCTGTTCTACAGTCTTCCCCACCTTTCATTTGTCAACAAACCTATTTCATTTGTCAGTCATTGTGGCGCAGAGAGAAATATTAATAAGGGAGAAAGTGGATAACTTTACTGTTTTTTTTAAATAGCCTGTACATAAGATGTAGATCTATTTCTATGTAACGTTTGAAGTGGAAAAACAAAGCCGTATATAGGTTAAAGGGGCCTCAAAAAAAAGTTAGATACCAACCAAAAGAGAAACTTTTAAACGGCTTTGAACTCCTAATCCAATGAATGTATTTACTTGTAACTTTCCCCAAAATAAAATTTGTGCCCTCCGTGTAAATGTCATAATTTTGGTTAGGATAAACATGACTTTTCGTCCATTACAAAGGAACTGAAACCCCGCTTAAACTCTAAACTGCACAAAACCTTAAGTACAAAGCCACCAGTAGCGCCTCCATAATAAGGAGTTTTTTGTAGCTCTTACTATCTGCTGGGTCAATCTTACCAGGGCAGATAAAGATTAACATATGGATTTAATGCCTATGAAATTTGTGCTGAAGTTACTGTGTGTAGAGAATTGTGTTATCAACCTTATTCTCTGTGATGTTGGGTTCTTTCCCATCCTCCTTAAATAGCGAGAAACAATGAGAATAATGTGACAGAATTGAAATTGCAAGTTGAAAGGTGATACAGAGCTTGTAAAAAGTTCCTAGATTTTAATTTATACTATGTCCACATAAGAATGTCTTTTGGGGCTCAAGTGTCTTTGCATTCTAAATGCACACAGGACATGAACTGCTTGTCTCTGTTCTTATCCAAAGTCATACCTCTCAACCCTGGTGATAAAAAAAAAGTTCGTTAATAAGTTCCTGAGGAAAGGGAACATCTTTTTTTCCCTAAAAAGAGATGTGTGTATGTTTAGCAACGAGAGTAATTCAAAGAAGCTTTTCTGACACCTTGTCTGTACTAGGAGGCTATAGTTATACTGGCAAAACCATCCGGGGTGGATGCAACTGAATCAGTGTAAATGTACTTATGACAGGTCCCGCAGAGAGCATGAGCTATACTTTTGGCTAGGTTTATACTATGAGTGCTTTTTGATATAGCTACACCAGTATACTATACTGGCAAAGTGCTCCTAGCGTCGGCACAGCTCATATTGACAAAGATGAGCTTTTGCTGGCTTAGCTTATTCCAGTCTTCTCCCCTCACCAACCTGAGCAAAATAAGCGATATCAACAAAAGCTCAGTTTTGCCATTATGACTCCGTATATAACTAGAGGCTGTTGGTGGCACAGCTCTGCTGGTCACAAATCACACTTCTTCACACCTGTGACCAACATCGATCTGGCTGGCAAAAATCTGTAGCGTAGACCTGGTCTGTATAAGCACAGTTATACTGGTATGATTGCATCTATGCTAGGGATTTTAGCGGCATAGCTGTGTTGGTTAAAACAAACAATCACCCCCTAACTGGGCAATAATTCTTAGCTCAGGCCTCACAGAGAACAGCAATGTTTAGAATCTAACACAATACAGTGCCAACAAACTCAAACATAACATAATTCAAGTTTAAACATATGCAGGCTGTCCTACTGCATAGGGCCCGTAGCCATCTCCCAAACTGTGGGTAAGTATATTGCAGATGTTACAAGGGGCCAGATTTAATTTGGTGCATTAGTGAATAGTGAATTTCCATTAACAATGCATTTGCTGTGAAAAAGTTCTTGAGCACGCCCTTTAGAAGTAAATGGCACACCGTGTACAGGCCATTTCACTTGGCACGCACAGAACCTTTGTGGCACTAGGGGGTAGGGGAAGGAAAGACTGGAAAGGGAACATGGAAACCTCCCTCTAAACCTCTCCCTTGATTACATTTCCTTCTGTTTTTCTGGAATAGATTTTCCTCATGTCAGACAAAAAGAAGGCCAAAACTGTTCATTGTAAAGGAATTCCAAACTTTCAAATGAGAAGCATGCCATGAATATACTGACACTGAGAAAACCACACTATTTCACTCCAATGTGTGGGGAAGGGGAGTCAGCAGACCAAAGACAGCAATATGCCCATCAGCAGGACTTAGAAGCGGTATTTCAATTAATTACATGGTGGGGGGGCGGGGGGGGAGGACCCAGCTAGCACCACAATACACTGCATTCTGTAGCGAAGAGCCTCTGTAATCCAATTGTGGCATGAGAACTAGCTTGATCAAAAACTCTGCTCGTATCCCGTTCTGATCCTGCAGCCTTCAACCAATAAAAGAAATTTTAAAAAACCCACATTAAACTGTTTAAAGCGATACTCTTTTTCCTGAGGTTTTCATATTATTTGTTTGGGCGTTGAAAGACACAGAGAATGAGGTTGCGGCGATTTGAGCAACAGAATGTCAAAACCCCTCCTTCTCCCGTGTGCACAAATCAAGAACAAATGGACTTCTGTCAAAGGGTTTGTTTAGCCAAAGAGTCTGGGCAGGAAGTGAGAGATGCAGCACTAACAAATCTCATTTTGTTCAAACAGCCCCAGACATTGCCAGGGACAACAGTACAAGGGGTTTTTTTTGTATACAGAGGGGCAAAAACTTTTTTTTGGATAACATTTTATGCTGAGTTAGTCTGTTCAGGATCAGAAAACTGCTCCTTAAAAGCTATGGCATCCTTTCCCTTTTAATAAAGTCAATCAAGGCATTTCAGTTACTATTGTTATACCTATAGCACTTGCTTCAGTTTCCATTAAGACTGATTTCAGAGTAGCAGCCGTGTTCGTCTGTATTCGCAAAAAGAAAAGGAGGACTTGTGGCACCTTAGAGACTAACCAATTTATTTGAGCATGAGCTTTCGTGAGCTACAGCTCACTTCATCGGATGCATACTGTGGAAACTGCAGAAGACATTATATACACAGAGATCATGAAACAATACCTCCTCCCACCCCATTCTCCTGCTGGTAATAGCTTATCTAAAGGGAGTGAGTTTGTGTGTGGTGGGGCGGAGGGTGAGAAAACCTGGATTTGTGCTGGAAATGGCCCAACTTGATTATCACTTTAGATAAGCTATTACCAGCAGGAGAGTGGGGTGGGAGGAGGTATTGTTTCATGGTCTCTGTGTGTATATAATGTCTTCTGCTGTTTCCACAGTATGCATCCGATGAAGTGAGCTGTAGCTCACGAAAGCTTATGCTCAAATAAATTGGTTAGTCTCTAAGGTGCCACAAGTACTCCTTTTCATTAAGACTGAAAAATTCTGCTTCAAAAAAACCCCCAACACATTGTGATAAGAAAGGCTTTTTCTAGGGAGCCATGCTGCCAGGTGAGTAATCTTCACTTTTATCTTCAGATACCCCAAGGTGCACACTGATCACAGGGGATCTGCCAATTCTGGGAGTGTCACCCCTAGCCTCTTTGGCCCACACGCAGGAACGTTACAAATATTTTAATACAGCATATCCATGATTCTGAAAGGGAATGTTATGTTAAGTGTTCATGCTACATCAGGCTAGCAGAACAGTATGTCCCCTGTGGAAGAGAGATCAGATCTGGAGTATATTACAGGGGAAAATAAGAGTTTGGTTTGTCGCTGTTCTTTTTAACTATCGTCCCTTTGTAGGTATTTGTTCCCTTTATTATTATTTAATATTAATTTGTGGTTGCACAAGACTACAATGCCAGCTAGCTCAATTCACAACACTACTCAAACGAGAACTGGAACAACAGGGGGCTACTTGCTAGGATCAGGCTGTACAGGCAGAACCGCACCTGGGTAGCTTGCAGTGCGCTATAGATATTATTTGGCTTTCCTTCACATAAGCTCTAAATGCCCTGACAACTAGTTAAACTCCCAGGCCGAGGGTTTCAAACTATGCCTGCCGTTTCAGGTGCCCAACTTGGAACACCCAGTCGGGGCTGGATTTTCAGAAAGTCCAACCACTGAAAAGTAGGGTCCTTTAACATGCCTCAGGCCGGGCACCCACAAATGGGGGCACCCACGCTCATTAGCCATGTCTGAAAACCTCGGCCACCGCCCAGCAACGTAAAAAACAACAATTTATCAGCCACTAAATCATAGTACCACAGCTTAGCCACCCAAAGCCCTGGCTTGTGACTGTTTGGTTGCCATTTGTATGGTACTTCCATGAGCACTGGAAACCATTTTGTCCCAAATTAAAAAAAATATTAATGAGACAAGGTGGGGGTGGTAATATATTTTATTGGACCAATTTCTGTTGGTGAGAGACACAGAC